GGCTGTGTTCCAATAAAACTTTGTTTATGGACACTGAAATTTGAATCCCATATTTTCTTTCTTTTTTTTTATTTTAGCATATTATGGGGGTACAAATGTTAAGGTTATGAATATTGCCCATATCCCCCTCTCCCCTCGAGTTAGAGCCTTAAGCATGAGCATCCCCCAAACGTTGCACATCTCACTCATTGTGTTTGTATATACCCTGTATCTCATATTTTCATGTCATGAAATATTATTTTTCTTTTGACTTTTTTCAAATATTCAAACATCATACTTATAGGAGATACAGAGATAGGCAGCAGGCTGGATTTGGTTTTTAGATATATATCCAAGATAAATAAATTCACATCTATCAAAAAACATTTATAAGAATTTCATAGCAGCTTTATTCATTCATAATGACCCCAAACTGTATACAGCCCAAATGTTTATCATAGGACAATGGATAAAAATTTTAATATATTTTTAAAAGTGGATTAATCCATAGCAATGAAAAAGAATGAACTATGTCTGCATACAGTTTATTGGGTAATTATCACAGATATAATGTTGTGAAAGAAGCTAGTCACAAGGACAAATACAGTATGACTTCATTTATGAAGTTCTTTAATGGCAAAGATAATCTATAGGTTTAGAAATTAGTATAGAGGTTGCTGGGTAGAATAAGGGGAGAGGATTAACTAGAAAGGAATGTGAAAGAAAATTCTATACCTTAATTTGGGTGTTGGTTACATGGATATATATTTATCAAAGCTCTTCAAATGATATACAAGAATGGATTAATAAAATGTGGTATATGTATACCATGGAGTACTATTCAGCTCTAAGAAACAATGGTGATATAGCACATCTTATATTTTCCTGGTTAGAGCTGGAACCCATACTACTAAGTGAAGTATCCCAAGAATGGAAAAACAAGCACCAGATATATTCTCCAGCAAACTGGTATTAACTGAGTAGCACCTAAGTGGACACATAGGTACTACAGTAATAGGGTATTGGGCAGGTGGGAGGGGAGAGGGGGGCGGGTATATACATACATAATGAGTGAGATGTGTACCATCTGGGGGATGGTCATGCTGGAAACTCAGACTTGTGGGGGGAGGAGGGGAAAGGGCATTTATTGAAACCTTAAAATCTGTACCCCCATCATATGCCAAAATAAAAAAAAATAAAATAAAATAAATGGCATACTTAAAGAACTATATAAATTATTCCTCCATATGCAATACCCTTTACATAATTAAAAAAAATCAATTAGTTGCTGACATTTAACATTATAATATTTCTTAGTATAATACAGATTTCTGGCCACAATGGCCACATTCCCACATAGCAATGAACGACTAGAGCTGTACTGTTTCATTACACCTCATCAATTTCATAAAAGGACACTTAACAAGAGAAACAAAAAAAGTCTTAGAATCAAATACATTTAGTTTTATAAATAACTCTTTTATCCTAATTCTCTCCCCTTACACTGCAAACTACGCCAGATTGCCAAGAGACCACGAACCAGTTTGAGGAACACACGTGGCTACTGAGCACTGAAACTGTGGCGAGTACGAAGCTAGCTGTGCAGGGAGGGTAGAGAACACATAGATAGGAGTTGGAAGATCTAGTATGAAAACATGATGTAAAATGTAAAGCATTTCATTAATAATTTGTTGATTACATGCTGAAATGATAATATTGAGTCAAAATAGATGATTAAAATTAATTTTACCCCTTTTAAAATAAAAAATTTTAATTGAGACAAAATAGAAATAACAAACTTTCCCATCTTAGCCATTGTTAAATGTACAGTTCAGTAGTGTTAAGTATATTCACACTGTTGTGTAACCAATTTCTAGAAGCTTTTTACCTCACCTTGTAAAACAGAAGCTCTGTACCAGTTAAACAACTCTTCATCTTCCCCTCCCTGCCGGCCCCTGGCAACCACCCTTCTCCTTTCTGTTTCTCTCAGTTTGATTACCCTTGATGCCTCATCTAAATGAAATCATGTCTTTTTGTGGCTGTCTTATTTCACTTTTTAAAAAACTTTTTAATGTGGCTAGTATAAAATTCACAATTATATATGTGGCTTACATTATATTTCTAGTGTACAGCATTGAAGGACAGTAAACAGTGGCCACCATTTTAAACAGGACATTGGCTATCTGCCCAGCATCCTCCAGTCCCTGTTGTCTGGCTCACGAGGCTCAATGTCACTTGCCATTTATTATCGCATTTATGCTGCTTATGTTTTTGCTAATGCATAGAGGAAATTAAAGTATTTCTCATGTCTATGTCTCCATCAAATATGGAAAACCAAAGGATTTTTCCCTTACTTTTTTTAGAGGATTGCATGTTTAAAAGGGGGAGGCATGGAAGGGAAAAATAGTCTTTTATATTTAATATACAAAGGGTGTTTCTATATTCAAAGAATATAACCTAAGATGCCATTATGAAACAAATTGTTGCCTTGGATGGCCACTTTCATTGTCTCCTTGGACCCTATAAACGTTTAGTTTGAACTTTCCATTTGTTTCCTGTGTGTTAATTTAATTCAACTTGGGAAGTAAGGTTCTAACCAACTACTACAAACAGACCAACAGACCACTTTCTGTGATTACTGACATATGTCATTGTATAGCACAGTGGTCCCCAACCTTTTTGCCACCAGGGACCTGTTTCTTGGAAAACAGTTTTTCCACGGGGACAGGGGCTGGGGCAGGGGAGGCGGGGTTGAGGCAGAGCTCAGGCGGTGGTGCGAGCAGTGGGGAGCAGCTGTAAATACAGATGAAGCTCCTTCTGTGTGACCCAATTCCTAAGTTTCATGGAATACAATTATTCCACATGGGGGGAGGGCGGAGTAGGAAGGGAGAGAGCAGAGCTCAGGTGGTGATGTGTGGCCTAAGGGTTGGGGACCACAGGTATAACAGATACTTTATTGATTAATTTTCTAATAAAGTTTCACTATCAAATTTGGTGTACTAATGAATAGGAAAAACATTCAGATTGAAAATTTATAAACTGCTTTTACATTTTCCTTTGTAAAAGCTTGTAGCAGCTTAAGGGAAATGGCACCTTTATGAAAATGTTCAATGATAAGAATATTTTTATGTATGGTTACAATTCTGTTAAATGAGAGTTGTTTAAAACTACATGACCAAAGAAAGTATAAGAGAAGTTCAGCTGTATTTGTCTTTTGCTGTTTGGTGGCTGTCTAGGGGAGAGAGGTGGTTTCCTAGAGGAACAGTTCTAGAGAAATGCCATAGCCAAGGGGGAAGAATGTATGAAGTGACAATATTCTAAAAGGTATCTGGGAGCCTGACTGAAGTCCTAGTATAATAATTGATATTCATAATATCATGATTGTATTCCATTGTTCCCTGGAGTCATGTGTTGAATGCTAGTGAAACACTGGCCAGGGAGTTTATAAATACTAAATATTTCTTTCTTTTCTCTCTCTCAAGACAGCCATCCTCTAGTGGGCAGATCAGGGTACAAATTATTTTATGTGATCTTGTTCCATCTCTTTAGATCCTTTTTGCAGACTGAGCTGAAACAAATATCTTTCTCAGAACAGAACCATAGGATTAGTTTATATTTGATTTACTGAGAATCTAGAGTTTATTCTCTTGCTTTTTTTGCATTTGAAGCCCATTCCTGCTTTGAATGCTGGTGAGCTGCCTGAGGTTGGGAAACATTAAAAAATTAAAAATGGTGGTCATCCTCTTTTTAGAGCAGAGTCTTGGTTTAATTTTCCATATTGGTTACTCTATTTATGTCTCTTGGGCCTTTGGCTGATTGATCATGCAGAGATTTGTCATCTTGCCTGATTCTTTGAATCAAATGTGGACATAGCAACTAAAAATAAACATGATGTGGATATTAGAGAACCAGGGGCCTTCTTTGCCTGGAGAGCTCGGATACTTCCTTGCTGTTGCTAAGATGTTTTCTGGCTTTAGCACAGCATCAATCATTGGAAGTGCAGCTGTGTTTCTGGAATAGAGAGTTGATGGAAGAGCAAAGGCACACTGATGAGTATCATCCTGAACAATGGATACAGATGCGAATGATTATGCATAATCCATAATATTGTCCCTATTTTTATAGGTCTTTATGCTATATGATTGCGTGTGATTTGCTGTGCTGAGAACTAGAAGGGTGCCAAAGCATCATTTCCATTTTCAAGATAGGTTTGTCAGAAATTTGAAAGATAAGTAAATATACCAGACTGTCACATTTCAGCTCTTTGCATCAGTGTGAGTGGCGAATAGTTTTGACAGTAGAATCTGGCTGAACATTAATTGATTGCTCTGACTTGATATCATTTTGCTTATTCCATTACAAAAAGACAACTATAGATTGAGTTTGAAAATCCCTTAACGTATATATAGGGTGAGAAACTGTTCTACCCAGTAAGTTTGCCTTGGGAATGAAGGACTTTTCTGTAGGGCACTGGTCAAGAACCAGCTTGCCTGGGTTCGAACCCTGGCTCTGCCACAGATGAGCTGTTTGATATTGGAGACGTTACTTAGCTCCTTCATGTCTGTCTCCACAGCTGTAAAGGGAGCATAATGATAGTTTTATCTTACAGAGTTGTTGTGAGGATTAAATGAGTTAATTTGATCCTTAATGCTGTGCCTGGCATGTTTAAGTGCTATGTAAGTTTTACCTGCTACCATTTGTCACTTGTTATTATATTTATACAGTGTCTTGATTGTTGGACTAAAGGATAAAGTGAGAGATCAGTCTCAAACCTCAATTTGTTCTGCGATAATTTGGCAACATTGAAAAATGTTAAGCCAGAATACCTTGATGAAACTGTAGCATTTTTCTATCATGACATTATTATAGGAGTCCTCATTGTGTCTAAATCAAAATTTAATCTATATTTAGTACTCTGGAATTTTTCCTCCAAAATGATTCATCTTTTGGCCATTGAGTTCCCCTTTTTGCAGTGTTTAAATAAAATCTCACTTGAGCCTCTCTCATTTCTGGTCCTAAAGAATTGCCTCTGCCTCGCTTTATGATGTCAAAGAATGATGGTGAGATACGATTTGGAAACCCAGCTGAGCTGCATGGAACTAAGGCTCAGATTCCATATTTAACCACGGAAAAAAATTCCTTCAAAAGAACGGACGATGAGGATAAACAGGTAAACAGTCTGATCAGGCATGCTCATTTGATTCTGACCATGAAACCTTACATAGCAGGGCTTCATACTTGCTGTTAAGCTTCCAGCAAATCTCACCATCTGGAATACACAATTGCAGACTTGGTAGTGAGCCAGTAAAGTTTCCTCCTAGCAGGAAAAAGGAGTTGATGTATAGGAATTACCACGAGCCACCCATGGGCCCTTTGGAGCTTACTTTAAAGTAGAATCATGTCTAAAAAGCTGCTGATTTAATGCACTTACTTGATTTCTCTAGGTCAGTGGTTTTCTAAATCGGGGTTCTTTGAAATGTAACTTCTAGGAGTTTTTAATAGGTCCTCTCCTCCAAAAAGAAGTCTGGAGAAAAGATTTCTCCGGTTAAATACATTTGGAGAATGCTGCTTCATGTCTCATTATTGGGGGAGAGACTAAATCCTCAGTCTTGGAAATTCATAGAGCACATTAGCCCAGTAAAGGCCCCGAGAAGCTCTGTAATGAAGAGACCCAGAGATCTGTGTTTTGTAAACTTCTTTCACTGGGAAATCCTTTCTTGGGGAACATATTTGGAATGCCATCTTGGGAAATGTTGCCATAACCCATTTAGCAGGTTTAGAACCAGAATAGGGGGGATGGGTTTTTAAAATTAGACTATTAATTACAGTAGTCAGATGGTGATTGGTATTGACAAAAGTGTAAAATCCTGGAAGAATGGGCCTATCAGGAAGAGGTAAATAGTCTATACATTAGTAAACCCTGAAGACATCCAGGTACAGCTCTTACTTCTAATAAAGATACTGAATCATGTAGAGAAGTCAAATTATATTTGACACAGTGACTTCTATAAGATAGACATTTGTTATATTTTAAGAACTGAATCAAAATATTTTAAAAATACAATGAATATTAAAGGATTGTGTTGGAAAACTAACTTATATGCCTTACCCTGATGATGTTGGATATATGAGGTGTTGCTTTAGAAATTTTATATTTATAGTTAAGGGAGGTATAGCACATGCTGTTAAACAATTCCATGTACTGTTTCTTTCATAATTGTGACTCATTTGAAACTAGTTCTTTAGGAATATATTAAAAAAGGGGGGTTATAGGAATTTTCAATCAGTATTCTTTGGCATGTTTTCCTATTAGCATTTGGAGAGGAATGAGGATCCACTCTCCTGTGGTGGTTGATGCCTTGGGAAATTTCTAGGCCCAGTCCTGGCTGTGTGAATGAGGACACATCTTTTCACTTTAGGCTGAGTTTATGCTAGGCCAACCCAGTCTATGGGTGTGAGCTCACTCTTCAGAGCAAATATATTTTCATTTTTCTTGAAGAGTATTTGATCAGTATCTCAGATTACATATTTCTCTTTAGACTAAGGGAGCCTATATAGTCTCTATGTTGCTAAAAACAGTTTCCTTGTTACTTGGGTCCTCCAAAGTTACCAGTCTACTGGTAGTGTTTAAAAATAAAAGAGGAGACCCAGCAGCAGGTAAGGTTGTATGAACTAAAATAAGGCTTTAGGTAATGAGGCTTACCCCCCCCACCGGCTGACTGAATGAACCCCCTGGTGGCCAAAGGAATATCCTAAAACTAAATTGCCTGCCAGGAGGAGGGAGGTCAGACATGCCTCTTCATGCCCCCCTCCTTTCTTGGGGACATCCTTTGTTACTCATTAATAGGCCTAAGGGTATGTAAGACAATCCTGCAGGTCCTCAATTTACACAACAAATATATGTCCTGATGGCTTGTCCCTGATAAACAACTCCTTAAATTAGAATATTCCAAGCCTTTAGACAAAGCTTCACGTCTTTAACCAATTACAAGTCAAAGAATTTTTAAACCCATCTATAACCTGTAGGCCCTGCTTTGAGATGGCCCACCTTTTCGGGCCAAACCAATGTATGCCTCGCACATATTGATTTATGACTTTACCTGTAACCCCTGTCTCCCTGAAATGTATAAAACCAAACTGTAACCCAGCCACAGTGAGTCCACTTGCTCGAGGCTTCTTGGGCGTGGCTATGGGTCATGGTCCTCAAATTTGGCTCAGAATAAATCTTTTAAAAATTATTTTATAGAGTTTGGCTTTTTTTCTGTTAATAGTTCTTACCTTGCTGAGGGTCCTATATCAGGTTCATATTCAAATTGGGATTCAAATTGTAACTTGTTAAGCCTTCATCTTAGCATTTAGGAGTAAACTAGTTGGAGTGGTTTACTCACAATGAGTTGTTTTGTGGTCTGTCATGAAAAAAAAACTATTATTTTACTTTGGCATAGTAAACTCCAAGAATATTTTAGCATTAAGCATTTAAATATATTTTGATATTTACATTTGTTGCAAGAGTTGATAAGTATAAATTCAGGAAATAGGAGTCTTTGTTAAAGAATGAAAACTGAATCTATCCACAAAGAGATCACAATTGGCGGGGTATGAATGTTATTTCATGTGATCAGTGTCTTTCATTTCGCAGAGGAAAATATTATTGGAATAACTCAGTGTTTCAGGCTGGTTTTAGTAATTTCGGTAACTCAGCACCAATGAGACTTTATTCTCTGGGAGACTCGAATCCTCAGACACTGCTTTTTAACCATGCTGCATTTTTGTGAAAACATTTCCCCCCATTTGTTAAATTAGCTGGGTCACCAGCAGTAGAGTTGCATTATGCTTCCTGACTGCAGCTTAGAATGCGGGGCTTCTCCAGTGGTTGCCTCTGAACTCTGCTCTGGTTCTTTGAAGCAGGAAACACAGTCTCCTACGATGTCACCCCTTGCTTCCCCTCCTTCTTCTCCGCCTCATTACCAGAGGGTGCCCTTGAGCCATGGCTACAGCAAACTGCGGAGCAGCACAGAACAGATGCATCCAGGTAAGAGGCGACCTGGGGACCAGCTGTCCCAGGCAGTGTCTTATAGATGCCTTAATCTACCAGGCAGCAATGCCACCAGCTGCTTAATTTCCTGATTTAATTACTCCTGTCTATGGAAACATGGCTTAGTTTAATTTTATATTCTCAAGGTTTCTTTAAAAAAGGAATTAAACATATCGCAATAATGCTTTTCTGTCCTAGATACTAGTTCATTTTTAGGCTCGTAAACAACTATTTAGATGATTTAATCTTTCATATACAGATTTCATTAAACAGCATGTTAAGGGTTTGTATTTTTTTGAAATTGTTATGCCTTTCTGCACAGAAACCAAACATTTATATATTAACTGCTTTCATGAAATTTCTTAAAAAATGTAACTATGCAGAAGCAAAAGAGGTGATCCAACCTTTAAAGACTGAGCACATAAATGAAAATAATATAGGTCTTGTGTTTTGGAATAGGATAAAGGAAATGCTAGGGGTAGCATTTTGCTGAGACGTATGTAACATGCATAGTTTCGGGGTTGCTTTCTTGTTCACATTTATGCTCTGCTGGCCTTGTTAGTGGTAAAATACGTTAGTTGGTTCTGAGGATGACTTGCAGACTTGGCTGCTCAGGCTGCAGTGCTTAAAGCACCATAAATTCACTGCAGCATCTTGTCCTCCTGGGGTTCTGAGTCCTACTTTAAGATATGACCAATTAAAGGTATTTTAGAATTGGGTTTCTGTAACCCCTCCTTTTTAATTTTGTGGGCTCTGCCCCCAAATGACCCAGTTTCTACAGGTTTTTGCTGCATTGAAAATAGTGGCGACTTCTAGAAGGACACAAAAATAAAAATGTGTGCTAGGCTGAATTAAAGAGAGGCTGTACTCTTGCACAGAGAAGCAGGTGTAGCATAATGGCAGTACCTTCTGATTGGAAACAGAAGGTGTGAACTAGCTGTAGGACTTTGGGCAAACCATTTAACTTCTCCAAATTATGATTTCCTCTCCTCTCTTAAAGTGTAGTAACAGTATCCTACAGGGTTGTTAATGAGGATTAAGTGAGAACATGAGCATAAAGTATGTTTCCAGATTAAGTTCCATGCACATTCAAGATTGTGTTGCTAATGGATAGTAACAAAAAAATCACTGTCCTGCAACTCGAATATCCCATTGGTGTTGCACACTAAATAGAGTTGAGAATTCTTCATTTTCCTTTTATTGTTTCTCCTGCCTGATATCCCTATTTTTAGAAGTGGTTTTTCTGTTTCTGATCTTATTTGGGTTTGAAAGTTGGTTTTTTAATTAATAATTCACAGGTGAATCTGTTTTTGTTCTGTTGAGTCAGCCTATCATCAAGTACTACTTTTGATATTCCTTAGAAACCTTGTCTGTTCTCCCTCCTTCCCTCCCTCCCTCCCTCCCTCTCTCCCTCTCTCTTTCCCTCCCCCTCTCCCCTCCTACCTCCCTCCCTCCTCCTCCCCCTCTTTCTCCTTTCCATCTCTCCCTTCCCCCTCTCCCTCCTCCCTCTCTCCCCTCCCCCTCCCTCTCTCTCCCTCCCTCCTTCATGCCCATTCTCTCCTCATTCCATCCAAGTTGGGCTTCCATTCATCCAGTGGCAAGGAAGCAACTTGCTTCTCTCCGTCTTTCTTGACTCTCAACAGCCTATGCCGAGGCTGTGCATGCCTTCATTCCTTTTTATACTTTTTAAAAAGTGAGGTAAAATTTACATATAATAAAATGCACATGTTTTAAATCTTCAATTTGAGTTTTAACAAATGGCTATGTCCATATAGCCACCACTTTGATCAAGAATAGAACATTTTGGCTGGGCATGGTGGCTCATGCCTGTAATTCTAACACTTTGGGAGGCTGAGGCAGGAAGATCGCTTAAGGCCAGGAGTTTGAGACCAGCCTGAGCAATAGAGCGAGACCGTGTCTCTATGAAAAATAGAAAAAATTAGCTAGGTGGGGTGGAATACACCTGTTGTTCCAGCTACTCGGGAGACTAAGGCAAGAGGATCGCTTGAACCCTAGAGTTTGAAGCTGCAGTGAGCTGAGATCATGCCACTGCACTGTAGTCCAGGTGACAGAGTAAGACTCTGTCTCAAAAATACCAAAGCAAAACAAAACCAAAAACCAAAAAACACTTCCATCATGCCAGAGATGCCTCTGTCTGATCACCCTCTGCTCTCCAATCCAAGTACTGTTCTGATTTTTATCACCATTGATTAGTGTTGCCTGTTCTAGAATGTCATGAAAATGGAAACATACAGAATGACTATGCTTCTAAAAAAATTTCAATAGATTTAGGGAGTACAAATAGTTTTTTGATCCATGGATGAATTGCATAATGGTAAAGTCAGGGCTTTTATTTTATTTTGTTACTTTAGCATATTATGGGAGTACAAATGTTTAGGTTACATATATTGCCTTTGCCCCACCTGAGTCAGAGCTTCAAGCATGTCCATCCCCCAGACAGTACACACCACACCCATTAGGTGTGAATATACCCATCCCCTCCTCCGCCCTCCCACCTGCCTGACACCGATGAATGTTACTGCTATATGTGCACATAGTGTTGATCAGTTAATATCAATTTGATGGTGAGTACATGTGGTGCTTGTTTTTCCATTCTTGTGAGACTTCGCTTAGTAGAATGGGCTCCAGCTCCATCCAGGATAATACAAGAGGTGCTAGATCACCACTGTTTTTTGTGGCTGAGTAGAACTCCATGGTATACGTATACCACATTTTATTAATGCATTCATGTATTAATGGGCACTTGGGTTGTTTCCACTTCTTTGCAATTGTAAATTGTGCTACTATAAACATTCTAGTGCAGATGTCTTTTTTATAGAATGTCTTTTTTTCCTTTGGATAGATGCCCAGTAGTGGGATTGCTGGATCAAATGGTAGTTCTACTTTTAGCTCTTTGAGGTATCTCCATATTGCTTTCCACAGAGGTTGTACTCATTTGCAGTCTCACCAGCAGTGTAGGAGTGTTCCTCTCTCTCCGCATCCATGCCAACATTTTATTTATTATTTATTTATTTTTGATAAAAGCCATTCTCACTGGAGTTAAGTGATAACTCATTGTGGTTTTGATTTGCACTTCCCTGATTAGAAATGTTGAGCCATTTTTCATATATTTGTTGGCCATTAGTCTGTGTTCTTTTGAAAAGTTTCTCTTCATGTCCTTTGCCCACTTTTTAATGGGGTTGTTTGATTTTCTTCTTGCTGATTTTCCTGAATTCTATATAGATTCTAGTTATCAACAAAGTCGGGGCTTTTAGTGTGCCTGTCACCCGAATAGTATACATTGTACCTGATAGGTAGATTTTTGATCCTTCATACCCTTTCTATTCCACCCCTTTGAGCCTGCGAAGTCTGTTATACTACTCTGTATGACTACGTATATTCATCACTTAGCTCCTACTTATAAGTAAGTACATGCGGTATTTGTTTTTTCATTCCTGGGATACATCCCTTAGGATAAAGGCTTTCAATTCCATCCAAGTTGCTGTGAAAGACATTATTTCACAGAATGACTGTACTTGTATGTGTCTGCCATCTTTCCTTCAGCATAATGGTTGAAATTTATCCATATTGTTGTACCAGTAGTTGGTTCCTTTTTATTATTCAGTAGTATTCCATCATATGAATACACTACAATTTGATGATCCATTCTCCTGTTGCTGGACATGTGAGTGTTTCCAGTGTTTGGCTATTATGAATAAAGATACTATAAACATCTGTGTATGAATCTTTTTGTGACATATGCTGTCATTTCCCTAGTACTTAGAAGTGGAGTTTGCTGAGTCTTACGGTAGGTGTATATGAAACTTCCAGAGTTCTAGTTTAACACTGAATTTCAGAGTGATGAATCTTTAGGGTTTTTTTTTTTTTTTTTTTAACTCCACCCTTTGGAGAAAGATGGTACTTCTAGTTCCTTATTAAATCTCTTGTAAGGGGATTGAAGAATTATTTGTTTTGCATTGAGTTGCATGTTTTGGGTTTCATTTAGGAGGAAGGAGAGTCAAGGCAATAAATAATATCTACCTTTTAACTTCCAGAGTTCAGATCTAATTGAGGAAGCAGCCAGAAGTCAGACCGATATTGGCTTGGATATCAGCTTTGTTACTGATATAGCAGACTTAGATATGTGACTGGATGGGTTTCAGACACTCACCTTTCCAGTCGCAGGCAGACTTGGCCAGCCCAGGCTTCTCACACAGCAGGAAGAGAAAATCTGCCTCCCCCCAAATAGCCCCCCATGCAGCTGAGTCTTCATCCAAGCCTTACTGATGAGATATATCTGTCTCTTCCAAGGGAAGGCCCTTGTAGCTGAGGGACAGGAGCCAAGAGCCAGATGGTGGCCTCCTCCCCATGTGTCTCTCCTGGGCAGTAGAAACTCTTATGGTTAGCAGAGGCACTTGGGGTTTGCTTCTCAGGGAAAGCTCGTGACCACTGGGACCCCACCAAGCTGTTTACTGTTTACTGTGTTTAGAACCTTTCAGTATTAAGGGTTTAATTCGGTGTTCCATCAACATGGAATGATTTCTAAAATCCTACTTCTCAGAAGACAATGCCTGCCTACCAGCTGAGATTTACTTTTTAAGATTTAGATTACGTGCTCTTCTATGTATGTTTCTTTTGCAGTTTTTATATTTTTACTCATTCTTAGCAGGTTCTGAAAATCCACTTAATGGTTTGCTAGGCAATCATTTTGCTATTTTCATGTGTGTTAATGTATTTTAATGTGTTACAATGTTGTATTCCAGTTGCTAGGAAGAAATACAAAAACCAGATGTGAGCCCGAGTGATTTTTCTTTCTTGATGTGCTATTGTTGTACCTTCTTTAAAAAGATTAAACTATGCTAACCATGGTGCCATAATAGGCTACTCTGCTTTCCACCTAACTTTATTTATAAGTAAGCTACAGAAAGAAAACATTTTACTTATTTATATACTTTAAAAAATTTGAATTGTTATTGTACAGAAATGAGAAATAGTTTTCTACTTCGGTGATAATTTCTCCTTTCTGTTGGACCTGAATATCACCTGGTTATGCTTAACTGTCTCCCTGCTATATTGGCAAGGTCATTATTAAGTCTTGTGGAAATAAAAGGAGTAAAATATACATTCATTTTTGTGGCTTAAAAACTTTTTCAAAATGTAGCAAAATTATTTTTAAATAGTTTAGTTATTGAATAACAGAATAATAAACATAAAATATATATATTTACTTTTGTATGTTTCTCTTCTTGGTTTTACATTCTGATAAAGAAAACACTGCCATTTATTTTTCAAAAAGAAAATAAATGATAATGTTGATTCTTAGTGTTCAAAATGCATATTAATTTTCTTCTTGAGGGATGGATGATAAATGGAAGGCATTTATATGGGGGATGTGTATAGAATTTACCTTTTATTTAGAATTTGGATACTTATAATTTGGCACTTTTCTTGCTCTACTTGTTGTTTTCTATCCAAGTTGAGGTTCTGTTCCCCCTTACAGTTTATTCCAAATATCAACCCAGTGTAAATATTTTCTGCCTTATCATCAATTGGTTGAGTGTCTTTAGATTGCTTAGTGAAATTGTGCCTAAGAGTGTTGGGGTTTGTTTGTCCTAGGTGGACCTCTGAGCATATAATTCTGTTGTCAGTTCTTCCCTGAAAAGCAGACACCGTATCAGTTTGAGTGTGACATCACAATTTTTGGGTGGACTCTTTGCTTACCATGCTGATTTTTCCTCCTGCTGTTTCAGCTCCTTATGAAGCTCGACAGCCCCTTGTCCAGCCTGAGGGACCCTCATCAGGGGGCTCAGGATCCAAGCCCCTTCGGCATCAGGCATCTCTCATCCGGGTAAGTGATGACATTGGGGTTATGCCAATGGGAGAGTGGAGACAAGCTTTGGAGTTTGGGGACATAGCTTTTTGAGGAGCCATCTTTTTCATTGCAAGGAAGTTATAAAACTACCTTCTTATGTAAATACTGTGCTTCTTGTTCTGTTGCTTGTATATTTTCCTAAATATTTTCTGCTATGTATGTTTCTATCCCTTCTCGGTGTCTCTAGAATAAACTAGGCTGGTTCTTGATCTTAGTATGTCTAAAATGGCATTCTACCTTCAATCTACCTAAACATTAGGCACCGTCTCCAGGAGAGCTTCACTTTTTCTAAGGCAGCCTATCTTGTGTCTGTCTTATTCTTTATTGTTACTCATTTAGCACATAGTTAACATTTGTTTTGTGCCTCCAATTATGTGTTAAACTTTTGGAAGGCAGAAAGAGTTCTGTATTCTCTCTCAGTGCTTAGGCCAGTGCTCTTTGGAGAACAGCTGTTTTACAAGTGGCAGCAGCTACTATTTCCTAAATGTAATAGATACAAAAGAAATATTAGGGCAAAAGGACAGGTGACATCTCAGCTTCTCCTGGCTACACCACAGCTTAGACATTTTCAGCTTCCCTTTCTCCAGTGTTTTCCTTTGGATAAAGAGCTCTTATTTTTTTTCCTGTGTCTGCAGCTATTGTCTTGTGTAGTATCTCTGGGTCCTGGACTAGGGAAATTATATTTTCCAAGAAGGGTGTGTGTGTGTGTGTGTGTGTGCATCTACATGAGAGAAATTACCAAAAAACTGGGTTTACTATTTGACACTAAAGATAAGAGGAAGTGGGGCGGTTTGTATAACATTTCAATTGTATAACTCAGGAAGAAGGAGCATTTGTGTGCAGGCAGTTCTACTCAACATAGAAAGGTGTTGTTAGATACTCCCAGAAAGAAGTGGGCTGCTAGTCTGAAATGGAATAAACAAAATCTGAAGAAGATCCAGGTGTTCTCTGAATACCTTCTGGAGATGGGGTAGTGTGTTAGACTTGGTGCAGAAGTTGGTCCTATAAGAAGGTACTCTGTGTACAAAGAACTTTCTTGAGATAATTTAACCACATGTTGTATATTTATATTAATGCTTCCTACAACCATAAGATCAAGATCCTGCTGTCTCTGTTAGTGTAGATGAATTGACTGTGGCTGAGAGAGGTCAAGTAGCTGGTCTAAGGTTTCATTCATAATTAGTAAGTAAAAGAGTCAGAATTTGAATCTAGGCCCATCCAGTGTCAAAACATGTGCTTTTAAATATTTTATCCTACATCAGAGTCCCATATTCCAAGGAGACCAAGTTCTAGAGTTGCTGCATAAACAAATGTGTGAGGTGTAGTAAAAAATATGCTGAAAAATCCCTTATTGGTACCACATTGGAAAACCAATATGCCATTTGCTTCTAAGGGCCAGTACAGGCCAGTTTCACCCACAAGTTGGAATAGACAGTTGTTTCTTCAGCTGAGCCCCAGATGTAGCAATTGGCTGCATTTAGAAGTCCTGTGGTACAAAAATATGTGCTTTTTAACACAAGAATCACACCCACCGTGGAGTGATGTTTACATTAGGAAAGGTATTGATGAGACTGGGATTCATCCCAAATTCTTCAGGGTGCGCCATGTAGGTTCCTGCAGAGTGTGTTCTGGTTCTATAGAGACCAAATCCTGAATGGTTAAAATGATGGTCAAACAGGCAGTGAGTCCTGAGCTTTGCATCGGTAGGAACGCGCTCGCCAGACCCTTTCTACCTAGCCGCCAGCTGGGATGGCCATGGGTGCGCACTTGGATTGGTGCCCTGTGACTTCTCTTCTAATTTCTAGGTCCCCTTTCTGCTGACACACATGCTTCTTGAGCTCTTCACTCAACTGATATTTAGTGAACACTTCATAAGTGCCAGGTCCTGTGTTGAGAATACAAAAATAAGGTATAATACTAGCAGTTGCTGCCCTCATACAGAGCTTTTGGAGGAGATGGTCAATGACCAAACCATCACAGAATAAATATGGAATTATGGGATGTGAATACAAATTACACTATGCTTTGGGGATGAAAATGAAGGTGGGGTGTGACCCAGCCTTGAGGAGCAAGGGCTGATCAAAGAAGGCTTCTAGGGGAGAGCAACATTCGAGTTGGAATGAGAAGAATACAAGGGTGTTCTTCTTGAACAGGTGAGGGGGTGGAACAGGGGAGCAAACAAGAAGATAGAGGGAACCGCATATACAAAGACATTTTCTGTGTGCTTGACATTTTATGCACATCATCTCTTCCATGCCCTTAGCTACCTTATGAGGTAATTACTGTAGTTACCCCATTTTTCAGGTGACAATACCTGACATTTAAAGACCGTATTTAATTTGCCCAAGGTCACAGCTAAGAAATGGCAGGGCTAGAGTTCAAACACCAGACACGATTCCTCGGTCTCTGGTTCAGGAACCAGATGAATGGTGATGTCATTTGTTGGGCTAAGAAGCCCTGGATGAAACACTGGCATTGGGGAAAGATCATGAGTTCAGTGTTGGATGTCAGGAATTGAGCTTTTGAGATAGCCCGGAGGAGGTGTCAAAGAGTTGGTAGGTTACATGGGTCTGGACCTTTGGGGAGAGCCAATGCTGGACATAGGTATTTGGCAGCAGTTGGCCATCAAAAGATCTCATGGTATAGTACTGCAGAAAAAAACAGACAGGTTCTCGCCCAGGTCCAGCCAAACTCTGCGTGACTTTGGGCAAGTTCCTTTTCTGTTCTGTAACATGAATGAGTTTGAATGGATTTTACAGTCCATTGTAACAATCTGCAACAGTCTGATTGTCTTAATGTTTGTTTGGCATCAGTGGAGGCCCTCTCCCCACCCCCTGCCCCCATCTGGAGCATGGCCTTCTGTTTAAGATGAGACCAAGGGCCATTTCTCGTCCAGGTAGCAGTCTGTGGTTTTCATGGCTGATGTGTTTTTCTTTCTTCAGTTCTTAAGTTTCCTTGTTATGCCTGTTAACTTGGTTTGGCTGGACTCCATGTTCCAGAAAGCAAAACGCCAACCTGAATTAGTCATGTAGAGGAGGGGATTTGAAGTGAAGGTTCTGGGTGGTAGGGGATTAGTGTTTATTGGGCATCGTGCTAGGCTAGGCTGGGGTGACTAATTCCCCTCAAGTTGCCATGTTAATGTGCTGATGACAACCTTCTCTCTCTCTTCTAGCGTCCTCTCTGGTCTTGTGTTCAAGTCCTTCCTGCCAGGTTAGAAAGGGGCATGACCTCTGAGTCCTGGCGGAGGCTTTTAGGAACCCCCAGCCAGTGCTGTTGTAGCCCATGGACTTGTCGTTTTAGAAGTGCTTATGCCAAATTCAGTGCCCAGAGATTGGGATGATTAGTCTTTTTGCTTAATATTTTAGGAATTTCCCTTTTTTTTTGTTTGGGTATTAGATTTTTCCCTTTGAAATTTCATATATTAATACTAAGTATATCTTGTGTTGGTGGAATGGTTGATAATGGTTTGTAAAGAAGTTACAAGTCTTATTTCCCGCTTTATCAGTTATCATGTGTTTAGAGGTCACTTTCTGGTTTACTTTTCACAAGTTATTATAAATATCTAGATGGTGTAGTCATCTGTAATTTTGCTGGCATAGGATTGAGAATTGCACCTTTAGCTCCCACTATACTCCACTGCCTCTGCTTTTTCCAGGGTTGCTAGAAACTGCTTTTTTTTGTCTTCTTTGACTTCTTGGCAGCTTTTGAAACTGATTGCCTTCTTGAAACGCTCTCATCATTTGGTGTCCGGGATGCCAGCTCTCCTGGTTTTCCTCCTGCTTCTATGGTGACCTCTTCCTAATCTTCTTTTTCAGTCCTTCTTTCTGTGTCTGTCCCTTACATGTTGGTGATCCCTGGTCCTGCTCCTCATTCTCCTTACTCTACCTGGAGGCTACCTGGAGGCTGATGACTACATGGGTGCACTTGGCTGACATCTTCACTTAAATGTCCCACTGTCACTTTCAACTGACGTGTCTTTCCCACAAGACCAGCTTTCACTCTTCCACTCCTGGCTCCATTTACCCATCAGCACAGGCCAGAAGGCTGGTCATTGTATTTCACTCCTCTCTTATCCCCACCTTTTCTTTTGAGACAGGATCTCACTTTGTTGCCCAGGCCTAGAGTGCAGTGGCATCGTATCATCATTAGCTCACTGCAACCACAAACTCCTGGGCTCAAGTGATCTTCCTGCCTGCCTCAGGCTCCTAAGTAGTTGGGACTATAAGCGTGTGTCACCATGACTGTAGAGATGGGATCTCACTGTGTTGCTCAGGCTGATCTTGAACTCCTGGCCTCAAGTGATCCTCCTGCTTCCACCTCCCAAAGTGCTGCGATTACCGTTGTGAGCCACTGTGCCTATCCTCTCTCACCCCTTTGCCCATTCAGTTAGTCTTGGTCATTCCACTTCCCAAATAACTTTTGTCTGTCCATACCTCTGCACTTCTTGGTTCAGGCTGTTATCCTCTGTCACCAAATCTATTATATTAGTTTTGAACTCTTTCTTCTTGCTTCTACTCTTGCCCTCTTCCAATCCATTGTTTTCATTGCAGACAAAAACAATCTTAAAAACAAAAATCTGGTCATCCTGTTGACTTGATTGAAACATACCACTTCCTACCCATGGCACTGAGCATGTTATCTGTGTTACTGAATGTTGCCCCTGCTTACCTCTTTGGTCACACAATTCACTGCTTCTCTCCCTCCACACTCTGGCCGTGCAAATCTGCTGGCCATTTCCCATATGGTCAGCGTTCTCTATGTGCAAACCTTATTCTTCACCCCCATTTTTGCCTTCTTTATTTTCTCTTTCATCTCAATGCATCTATGCTTTTTCCCCCACTGAAAACATGAAGTGTGAGTTTTCTAATCTTTTCTTGTACATGTGATGTCTTCATTTTTTTCATTCTTAAAAAAAGTGGTTTGCTGCTCGTCTGCTCATTTATCCGTGAAACTCAGCCAGAGGGATGGGAGTCTGA